TGCTAATATGCATGAAGTCCTGGATTTGATCCCCAGCACTGCAAAAAACAAAAACAAAGAGCTTGACGGAAGGATCCTGGATGTTCTCACCATAAAGAAATGATAGATGTTTGAGGAGTTGATTTAAACCTTACCTAGGGCTGGGGGTGAGGTAGTGGTACAGCATTTGCTGAGCATGCATGAAGCCCTGATTTCAATCCCCAGCAATGCAAAAGATAAAAGCAAAGAAACAAAACTACCACGCTGTGTGGAGACATCACATGGTGTCCCTTAAATGCATACAATTTTTATGAATCACTTAAAAACAGATTAAAAGATTTGCAAACAGCAACAACAAAACCTCCAACATTTATTTCTCTCAGTTCTGGAGGCTTAAAAGTCCAAAGTCAAGGGGCTGGCAGATCTGTGTCTGATGAGGACGTCATCCTGGTTTGCAGATGGCATCTTCTAGCTGTGTCCTCCCACAGCAGAGAGCCTGTGAGGTGTGGAGCTGCCTCTTCTCCCGAGAGCACTAATCTCACCCTGAGGAGTCACATCCTCAGGACCTAATTACCTCCCAAAGGCTTGGCCTCAAATGCCACCACATGGGGACTTAGGGCTTCAACATGGGAGTTTCAAGGGGACACACTTTTCAGCTCCTAGTGTCAGGCCTGGCTTTTCTGGGCTGCTTTTCTGTGAAGGGGCTTTTGTAGACCCTTGCTGTGAGTCACCTCCACCAGAGGCATCCCCAAGGACCACACACGGGCTTGGCATGCTGTAGGGCTTTGGAAGCCCTTTGCCTAACGTAGAGAGTGATTAGAACAGGGGACAAAAGTTGGAAAAGGTCTTTCCTAGAAAAGATACTAGGCCCTGGTATTTACTGAGCATTTCCTATGGGCCAGGCACTTTTCAAATATCACCTCATGTTCTCCCCACGACAAGCCCATCTGGGCAGAAACATTTGTGCGGATTCCTATGTTAGAGTAGTAAACTGAGGCCCACCCGAGGCCCCAGAAGCCAAGCTGGTGTCTGCACCAGCCCTTCTTGCTCCTGCCCTGTAGTTTTGGCTTCTCCTGGTACTTCCGCTTCCTGGGAGGGTCTGAGGTTTCCCTCACCCCTGTATTGCCCTGGGCAGTGGGGGCCGTCTGTGCAGTGGGTGGGCAGTAGAGGTGCATCCTGAGGCTTTGCTCTTGAACCCTGAGCACCCAACTCTGCTGCACTCCCTTGCTGTGTGGCCTCAGGTGAGTTTCGAGCTTCTCTGAACCTCAGTCCCTCCTGTAAAGTGAGGGGAGCTGTAGTCTCTGCTTTGTTATGCCACTGGGACCTGCTCAACTTGTGCTTGGCGTTCAAGGCCCCCCGCCACCTCCTCTTGTGTCCTCTTGTTTTGCCCCTTGATCCTCTGTAGTGCTTCTGGTGGCAGTGAAGCACATTGTGTGCTGTTGCTGGAGCACTCACTCCTGGCCTGGCTCACGGACTCCCCTGGCACTCAGCTGTGGGTCACTGTTATCCCCCATTAGAGAACAGAAAGAGAGGCAGAGCCACTTGCCCAGGAAGCCATGGATAGGAAGTTGTGTGCCAGGACTTGGCAGAGTCTTCTTGGGGCCCAGCCTCAGAAGAGGGAGGGGACTTGGGTGTGTGGAAGGAGACCCTGTGCACTGGGAGGTGAGGGTGGATGCAGGGCAGAGAGGGCAGAGGCTGGAGGGCAGCGGCTCAGGCTGCAGGGCCAGGTGGCCCTGGAGAGTAACTTAGGCCTCATCCCGGGGGACGATGGGAAGCCCTCGACTGTTTTGTTTTTTTTTAAGTCTCATTAAAAAAATAATCATGACCAAGTAATTTCCAAATGTCAGCTGATACAGAATATAAAGTAAAAAAATGGGATTTTCCTCTTGCATGAGACATTGTGAAGAGTCTGGAATCCTTCCAGAACTTTCTCTAAACCTCCAGCACACGTGTGTGTGTGTGTGTGCGCATGTCCACACACACACACACACACACACACACACACACACACACACACACGCCAGCTTTCTTTGAAGAAGTAAAAGTAGCTCAAATCTGCTGTGTGCCTGGCACCACACTAGGCCCGCTCCATGTAGGTAGCCTTCTGTCCCCATTTTCCATGATGCCCAGAGGAGATGCCACACTGCTGACTTCTTTGCATGTCACATGTGTCGTGAGCATCTCATGCCACACAGAGTTCTGGCTCTTCCTCTCCCTGCTCCTCCTCCTTTCTTCCTCCGCCCTCTCCTCCTGTTTCTGTACTGGGGATGGAACTCAGGGCCTTGCACATGCTAGGCTAGTGCTCTATCAGTAAGCCATATCCTCAGCCTTCTTTTTTTAAAATTTTATTTTGAGTCAGAGACTTGCTAAGTTGCCCATAGTAGCCTCAGACGTGCAATCCTCCTGCCTCAGCTTCCCATGGGCGGGGATTATAGGTGTGCACCACAGCTCCCAGCTCTGGTTCTTCCTAATAGCTGCACAGGTATCTCCTGGGTGACTGGGCCACCATTTGCTTATGTTGGACTCTTAGGCTACTCGGTCTCCATGAAGAGCGTTAACAGGGATTGTTTCTGGTTGTCTGTGTGGTTTGCAGAGATGCTGCTGGCTGCAGGAGGAGGGTTCCAGGAGGTCCCTTTTGTGTCTGCAGCAGGGCACCAAGGAGGACACTGAGTGCTGGCCTGAGGAAGAGGGCTAGGAGGAGAGGGTTGGGTTGGAATTGGAGGAGTTTTGGAGCTACCTGAGGGCTCCCCTGGGCAAAGCCCATCATGAGGCCCAGCTCACACAGAAGGTGCTCTGCAAACACTTAGTAACCAGCTGAGTCTGCAAGGGGTGTGGTGGGGGACGCAGGCTTGAGGAGATGCTGAGTCAGGTCAGGATCTGTGGCCTGTGGAGTCTGGGGGAGCAGAGGGGAAGTGTGGGGCTGGATCCTGACACCGTCCAGCTACAGCAGTGCAACCTCGGGAAGAGCCCACGCCTGTGATCAGGAGTGGCTCCAGGAGGAAAGAGACCACCTTCCTCCAGGAACCTCAGGCAACCATGCGACCGACCCTCCTTGCTTCCCCTCAGCCCCCCAAAGTCTGCCTCCACTTGGGAGTGTGCAGATGGTGGAAGAGATGGGGGTGTAGCTTTTCTCAGTTGGGCCAGTCATGGTGACTCTGCGTTTAGGCCCAGCCCACAGGCCAGCAGACCCATCCCACCACCTCCAGGAAGGGGCAGAAGCTTGAGGTCTGAGCTCCTGGAGGGTGATCTCTTCCAAGCTCACACAGATGGCCTTGGCCTCACTGAGGCTAGACCCCCACCCTAAACGGGCCTGTCCTTCCTCAAGCACCTTCTGCTCTGCTGAGGGCTGAGACTCTGGCTCTCTCTAGGAGTAGGACTAGGCTGCCTTATGTGTGCCTCCACCTGGGAATCTGGCTGCTCCAAGGGAGGTCCTGGTCCTTTGGGCAGCATACTAGGCCCATGAGTATCCCACTGGACCCCATGAGCAGGCCCTGAATCCTGCCTGCCCTGAGTGGCTCTCTGTCCCCACTTTCTTTTTGCTCACATACACTCTGTGGCCTCAGGCAAGGCTCTTAACCTCTCTGTGCTTCAGCTTGTGCATCAATGAAATAAGGATACTATTAGTATCTACCTCCTAGATTATCATGAGGATTTGGTGCCTCAGTATTTGCAAAGTGCTTAGAGCAAGGCCCAGTAGATTTGAGTTCAGGAAATGTTTGTTTGCTGCAGAATGATATATGTTCTCTACAGCGTGACATTGCAGGGACAGAACCGGATGCAAGTTATACTTCTGTGCCACCTCGTAAATATTTCCAGAGCCCTAACCCTCTGTGCCAGATCCAGCCTGGTTGCAGGGGGCCTGGAGGCAGATCTGACCTGACCCTGCCCACGGGGAGCTCTAGCTAGGGTGCCAGACGAATCCGCTCTGTTTATATCCTGCATTCCTCTGTGGTCAGAGCAAACCCTTTAGGTCAGGTCTCGGTGGTTCTCTTCAAGGACCGGTCCCCCATAGCTTGTTCTTTGTCTCTTCCTCTGGTTCCCAGAGTTCACTTGTGAGTGCGTGTGTGCACGCACGCGTGCGCGCAGCTCTGGGGAGAGAACAGGGCCTGGGGCCTGCTAGGCAAGCATTGAGCCCCGCCCCCATCAACTCCACTCTCAAAGATCATGGTTTCCATTTTGTGGGGGACAGCAGAGGAGGCCCCCTGCCAGGGAGCCAGTGATGGGGAGCGGATGAGGGTGTGACCTCCTGTAGCCGGGGGCTGTGGATAGCCCAGTGAGCAGGTTTCTGGGGACCCTGGCTTTTGGATGGGCACTCTGACCTGGATGGAATGGGTTGCCATGGAAACTGGCTTTGTAGTTACTGTTCCCAGGCTGATTGGCCTGACCCTCCGGAGGCCCTGGAGATCTCTCCTTATTCTGAGGAGGTCTTCCCTCCCCAGCCCCACAATATCTGATCCAGACTGTCCTTAGGGAACCCAAAGGCCACCATGTCCCCACAGTTCTGATCACACCTCATTGTGCAGTTGAGTAATTTGGGGTGACTGGCAGAGGTTCACGGGGAGGGGGTGGCACTGCTGGCTGTGCTGAGTCCCTGTCCAGGGGACCTTCTCCCTATTCAGGTGCTCGGAGGCTTTCTCTGGGGCCTTCAGCATTCGGAACATACCCGGCACCCACCTCCATGGTGTGTCTGGAGCCCTAGTGTCACAAAAGTGACCCGTGCTGCCTCAGTCAGTTGTCACAACACCCCTGTCGTTTACAGAGGAGGAAATGGAACACGAGGGAACCCTGAAGTTGCACAGCTGATAAGGGGCAGAGCAGGGATCCAGATCTGGGGAACCTGGCTCCAAGGCCACCCCTAACTGCTGTGCAGGACCTTGCCTGGCCCCTGCTCCAGGATGTGGCCCGGGAGGCTCCAGGGCCATCCAGCGGAGCCTGGTGACGAGTGATCCAGCACTTGAGAAGGTTGCGATTTCTGTGTTCATAGCCCTGAGAAGTCTGTCTGCTTTATCCTTGCTTTGCAGATGAAGATGCCGAGGCCCAGAGAAGGGAAGTGACTTGGCTTGGGACATAGAGGAGGGAGAGGCAGAGCAAGGTCTTTAGTCCAAGACCCCAGACTCCCACACCTGCTGTTCGTGCCAAGACCCCAGGCTGCTTCCCAGATCATCTGGGACAGCATTGCCTTCCACCAGGTGAGGTGATGGCCTTGGGTTGGGGGCTGCCGTGATGGGTGGGAGGAGCAGGCAGGAGCATGGTGGGTCCGTGGGTGTTGTGGGCAAATTTTTGTCTTGATTTCCTTTGTTTCCCAACTTCTGGGGCTCCCAGGTTTCTGGCTCAGAAGTCTCTTTTAACTCTTGAATTGTCCCTCATTCATTCACTCACTCAGCTGTTTATGAAGCACCTGCTGTGTGCCTCGCTTTGTGCTAAGCATTGTGAACCCAGCAGTGAACAAGAGACAAAAAGCTCATGACAAAAATCATATAAATACAGATTAAAAACGGCCATGTGCAATCAAGGAGGTGCCAAAAGCTGGGGACTTAATCCAGTGAAAGGATTCGGGGAACCTTCCCATGAAGGTATCTCTTTTTGTGTGGTGCTGGGGATTGAACCCAGGGCCTTCTTACTGAGCTATATCCCCAGCCCCTTTTATTTATTTATTTTAAAATTTTGAGACAGGATCTCATTGAGTTACTGATTTGCTCAGGCTGGGCTCAAACTTGTGATCCTCCTGCCTCACCCTCCTGGAGTGCTGGGATTACAGGTATGCCCAGCTTGGAGGTTACTTTTGAGCTGAGAACTGAAGGAGGCACGAGTAACCCTGGTGAATCAGGAAAGAGCATTTTCGACAGTGGGGACAGTTTATGCAAAGGTCCTGTGGCTGCACTTCCTGCCATACTGCTGCCTCAGTTGCCACATTTAGCACCTTTCTGCCAGTATTAGACCATTTCCATTGGTTATTACATTCCACACACCTGCAGCAAGTCTCTCCAACGTGCTAGTGCTGGGGACACGGCACGACTCAGAGTTGCTGTCTACGAGGGCCTCAACAGTGAACTCTTGGGGAAGTGGGAGAGGTCAGAGCTTTGGGTTACCAGGTATTTCTTCTATGCCTGTCCCTGTCCCAAGGAAGCCCTCTGTGAACGCCATCAGTAGGCTGGACAGTTGAGGAAACCGAGGCTCGGAGAGGCCATTTCCCCTCTTGGGGCCTTAGTTGCCATGCCTGCAAGGTGAGAGCGCCCTGAATCTCTGCCCCACGCCGCCGACTTCTGTCTCCAGCCAGGACCATGGGCAGCAACAAGAGCAAGCCCAAGGACGCCGGCCCGCGGCGGCGCAGCCTGGA